ATTAAGAAGGGGGTCCAGCTGCATTAGCGCCTTCAGGACAAGATCAATTGTTGATCAATTGATGTGAGCGCGAATTCCCCCAGAATTGATAGGTGCTTCGCGACGAGTGTTACGCGCACTGCTCCTACCAACCTGGGAAATCCGTCATTGATGTTCGGGAAAGGGCGCCGGGTACTGAGGTATAGAATATCACAATGGATCCATGGAGAACGATGGCCAAGTCAGCCAACTGGGGAAGGAACAATGAGGGAAAGACAACACCCCCTGTCTTCGAACGAAAATGAGAGAGCAGTTAGACTCGATGAGATGTTGGTGGAGACAAGAGGGGCAAGGAAGAACTGCAAGGAGAGACCCTCTCCCACGCATTCGTAACATTCTCCATGTGGGACCAAGGTTCACTTACTTCTCTCCGATCTACTCTAAGCACGCACCTTTGCGTACCGTACCGCGGGCTAGCATACGACGAGCGCATTGATGCATGCACGAAGAAGTTCAAGTATCTCAGCAGTCAATGGCGTGCCGAGTATCCACCTCGCCGGTCGTCCTCTCCCGTTGCCCATTCTCGTTCGCGCGCCCTTGAACGTCCCTTTGACGGAATATGTGGTGGCAGGAGCTCCCGTTCGGGTGCGGGCTGGGGCCCTGTGCTGCATGCATGCAATATGTGACTGGTTGGTCCAAGTGTGACAACATCCGCACTTGCCCAAAGGGTGGCGCTCACCGTGCAGGGAGCTTGAGCTCTGAGTCCTCAAAATCTCCAATGTAGTTTTCCAGGAAGCACTGTTTCAATTGCACCACATACCAAGGTACTAAGCCTACACTTAATGGATCTATCCTTCCTACACATGTTCAAGTATTGATTGCTGGTGCTGGTGCTGGTGCTTTGGTTTTATCAAGTGGGTGAATCCTTCGCGGTGGCAATCCGCTCCGCTGCATACATCTATGTACGGGTCTCGGTTTGGCTTAGAGATACCTCTGACAGCTCTCTTGGCCCACCCATGGCTGGATGGTACTTCCGGGATGGCAGAGCTATGAGCTCTTCTCTCTTAAAGATCCGTGAGTTGAATGGCCCCGATTTTGTCTGCTTGCTTCTGAGAATCACTTGCGCTCTCCTCCAGGGGAATGAAGATATCCATGGATCACTGGATCCGTCTATTATACGAAAGTGATCAAATAGATATCAATATGGACGAGCAGAAGAAGAAAGGACCGTCTGCGGGCCTGGGAGCTAGGCAATAGGCGTTGAGAGGATTGATGCTGCGGGGCTAGCGAAGGACTCGGTTAGCGAGTGATACTTTATCGTTTGTTTGCTGCTACAAGTAATAGTCTCCGTCTCCCGTGGCCCATCCCTTTGATTGACTCGAGTATACAGGTGCAGATTTGAAGAGCCAACGGTTCATCCCCTCCCCCAACCATGCTCACCAACGATGGGCCCCGACACCTGAGCTTGACCGGAGACCCCAACACCTGGTTGCTTTGAGACGTGTGCGCCAGGTTCACGGCACACTTTTCCAGATGAAGGCGAGCTTGTCTACGACCTGCATTAGCATGGACACTGAAATGTGACCCTCAAGTGGAGAGGAGCTGGCGTTCCCCGAATTACAGGCCAAACCGCCCTGCTCCGAGCAGCCATGGACTATCTGATCACACCGGCTCGGCGGACTCTCGCGCAACTAGCGGGCCGAGAGGCATTCTCGGCACAGCTGCTTCGCCGCTCACTTGAGGGTTTTCCCTTGTCCCCTTCCCCCTTTCTGCTCCTCGACAGTCGACCCTGTTTTCCGCAGAAAAGTCTAGGGCTTGTCCCAGCCCAATTATCCCAACAACAACCCCATCTAAGAGAACAATACAGCAAATTGAGGGGGATTGACTATACTCGAGAGAAGTGACGTATCAAAAAAAAATTATGGACCGATGGCATGGAGCTTTGAAGATGTGGCGTTTTCTGTAGCCCTCAGGAAATGTCACGCAAACAAAAGATGCTTGCTGCCTGCACCAGGCGATCGACGAAGAGCCCATCTTCTTGGCTCGAAACTCCACCATTCTTTTCTAGTCCCGGTTTCCCAAACCACGGGCACGGTATGGCGAACGGACTTTGGTGCTTCACAACATCGTGAGTTAGAGCACATACATTACAGGGGTGAGGAAGGAGGGTGTGCAGGTCCACTGTCAGTCAACCAGGACCCTTTCGGAACTTGGCTGTTATGCAAAGAGGTTCGAGGTTGTGAGACAGAAGGCCCCAAATTCAACTCACAGAGGCCACTGGGATATCGTGGGTACCTTTATCAGACATCTCGGCGGACTGAAACGACTAGCTAACACCCTCTTGCCGAGAACTCATACCGCCAACTAGTGCCATCAAGCAACATCGTGTTTGTGGCTAGCTAGTAAATTGAGATGCAAGAGCAAAGAAACGGGTCCTCGCGTTTGATTCCAATTTGGCGGGCCGAGATTCTCACCTCACCTCACCAGACGTCGAAGCCGCTTCCGCTTTTGGTGGGGTTTGGACAGGGCCCCTCCCTCCCTTCCTCCTCTCCCCTTTCCACCTTTTGACACTCCGCGGTCGATGCGGGTGTGCTTGCCTAGCTTAGAGGCTACTGTTGGCAGGTAGCCCTCTCTCTTCTTCCCAACGCCACCCCGTTTCTTAAAAGGGCTCCGTTGTTGGGGGCCGCTCTCATAATACAGCCTTGACTCTGAACTAAACACCACAGGGTTTGTATCTCCTAAACGGTTGGATTGTAGGTGCCGCCCGCAACCCGGGGACTTGGTATCAAAACGGAAGCAAGTCCCTCCCTGTGTCTTTCATGTACTCCATCTGTACCTTGAGATGATGAAGGCAATGACAGCTTGGAGGAGCTTGCAATTAGCTTGTATGCCCACTCCCCATCTGCTTTCATCTCGAGTAGACACCCTAATGGTCTCTACTCACTACTCACTCCAATTGACACTGCGCAATCTCGAAGCAGAGCCTTCTTGGAATATGCTCTTTCTCTTGCTTCTTTTTTTTTTTTTTTTTTTTGTTTTCTGTTGTTCCACGACGGGCAGGTAAGATTTCCTTTAACTTGTCTCAATTGAAGCCGCTCCCATGATCCATGCTATCGCCAACTCAAAGCCCCATCCTCCGTCGGCATTCTCCAGAGGCTCGGCTTTAGCAACCATTCCTTCCGATTATCCTAGGGGCGTGTATCCCCGTATCCCCGGCCAAAAACCAGGCAATCGATGATGGGGTCGTAGAACGCAAGACGAGGTAAAACCAAACAAGAGAATGGAAAATAAAGATCCGCCATCCGTCCGCCCCGCTTCCGCTACATTACCGCTTCAAGGTGCGCTGTCCTACACACCCCTTTTTTCTGTCTGCTTTCCATGTGGCAGTTAGACTAGAAGAGAAAGAGAAGAACGAGGGAGAATAAAGGTACAGCTGGAGGGCGAGAGCATTGGTTTACGACGAACGTAGCGCGGTCTACCTGCTGTGACACTGCATTCAGGCAACCCTTCAGCCCTATAACCAATCGCTCAGTCCCGTCGTCGCACAGTCAACCCGCCCCTATTAAAACAACGCACTCTGGGGACCACGAGGTCTGAACAATTGGCGTTGGACCCTTTTGGCTAACAAGGAAACCAGGAAAGCTTGCTGGCAGTAGCCTGGTTAGGTAGTGCGAGCTAGTGACAGAGATGCCTTCACTTTCATCTGATCACGAATCCTCCATGTGGCTTTTGTTTCTACTCCTCTTGCTTTCCGGTGCCTAGCTCTTATCATCGCTAGTCTCTTTTGTACCTCCAGGGTTCGTTATTCATCCGGTTTCTCTTTTCAAGACCCTACCCTCAACGTGTCGCAGGCGCGAATTCTAACGGAGGCAGGAGCGAGCGAGACAAGCGCACGTCACACACATACACCGCACTCACACAAGAGATCAAAGAGGTAGGCACATAGCGACTCTTTTTCACCCCACCACCCTTTTCGCCACGGCCAAGATCAATTGGACGGGGCGAGATGCTCGGTGAAAACCTATGTTCATGTAAAGCCGCAGCAGCGACAGAAGCGAGACACACCTTCTCATCCACCTCCAACCCAATGGGGGAGCTGCCGGAAGAAGTAGATCTGATGTTACCCTCTGAGAGCTGTAGTGTGTCGTGCATCTAGACCCGAGGGCCCTCCCCATTCTGGTGGCACCTCACGATAATAGTACTTGCAGGTCTCTTCCGCTAACCAGATGCGGGTTTGAGACCCAGATGTCAGGATCCTCCCCCTTTTCTTATCATGTTTCTATTTGCTGTCAAGGCCAAATGAGAACCGGTGGAGTTCACGGTCTGCATCAGAAGAGTCGGGCATCAGCGATCGCGTCGTACAGCGGTAGTTTACTCGGTCGGTGCCCTGGCCGGTTTCCCTGACGAAGGAACGAGCCTATCCGCCTCGGATAGGCTTACCATGATGGGCCGGGGGAAGCGAGGCGAAAATGCGGAGGGTAAAAAGAAACGATAATGAGAAGGATCTGAATCTTGCCAAGACGCCTCGTCGGATGGAGAAACGGCTGGAATTTTCGCCTCCCGCGCTTCATTTCGAGCAAATGCTGATCTCACCTCTGTCACTGAATATGGGGAGTACTAAGCTGACAGGCGCATGTCGAGCTGCGGCGAGCACACAGACTGTGACGGCGCAGTCTGGAACTTCCTCGGAGGAGGAAATGTCTGTGTATGCCCGCAGTGTAGAATTGCTCTCATATTACCCCTCGGGAGCTGGAACGGTGACCGTCTCTGATGCATCCGTCATGGTCCTCAAGGCATTTTGTGTCACAGCTGAGACCTTGCCCCGGCGTTGCGTTAACCAAAGAGCCGTTGAGGGGATAGAGTCTGCCACAGGCGCTCACAAGAGGGCTATTCGAGGGTTTCCCTTACTTCTCCAAACGTACATGACTCTATTTCAAGGGGTAAAAGAAAGCGGAAGGAAGAAAGCCTACTTCTAGACAAGGGCTAGCAAGCAGTAACCTTTCCTCAGGGTTTAAGTAGAATTACAACATTTCTGTCCTGCCCCTCCAGATGGCGTCAGACATCTTAGTGACCTGACTCATCTCGCTCACGTCATGCACCCGAACGATGTCTGCGCCGCCTTGGATCGCCGCGGCCACGGTTGCGGCGGTACCCCAGACCCTCTCGCGTGGCTCCGTCACGCCCGTAATCCTGCCTACGAATCCTTTACGGCTAGAGCCAACGAGCCAGGGTAAGCCCTCGAGCCCGGGCCAGCGACGCAAATCATCGAGGCGGCGTAGGATCTCGACATTTTGTTCCGCATCCTTGGCGAAGCCAATACCCGGGTCGAGGATGATGCGCCAGCGGCGGATACCGGCTCTTTGCGCAACCTCGACCCGCTCGAGCAGCTCGGAGGCAATGGTGGGAATGAGACCGGCGGGAGAGTAGTCAGTGAGGCGGGCCATATTCTGCGGGGTTCCGCGCATGTGCATAAGGCAGACAGTCTTCCCTAAACGGGCCATGGTTGGGAGCATCTCTTCGTCAAGCAGGCCTGCGGAGACGTCGTTGATGATATCGGCGCCGGCAAGGACGGCCTTCTCGGCGACGGCGGCACGGTAGGTGTCGACACTGATGGTCATGTGCGCCGTAGCGGGGATAGTCCGGATCAGCCGTACGATGGGGATGACCCGGCCAATCTCCTCATCAACAGATACCTCGGGAGTACCGGGGAGGTAGATTGGCCACCAATGTCGATCATAGTCGCGCCGGAGCGAGCATGGCTAGCGAGGATCTCCACGAGATTCTCAGGGGAGTTGATCCCGCCATCGGAGAAAGAATCGGGGGTGACGTTGAGAATGGACATCAACCGGGTAGGCCGCCTACCGTCAAAGGAAGCGATGGGGGAGCGAAGCGGATAACGGGGTAAGAGGCGAGAGCGGGGGTCCGCAGGCGGAAGCTCGTTGAGGTAGTCCTGGGTCAGCTTCCACGGACGGGATTGATCTATAGGGGTCCCGGGGATGAGTCTGCAAAACAGGTGTTAGTAGGCCTCATCGGCCAAAGGTGCACAGAAACGGCAGGCCGGGAACCAAGCAAGGCCGGAGGGGAGGAGACTGACTCCGCGAGCGGTCTGAGGACAAACTCGCGCTCGAGAATGCCAGCATGAGGTACCCAAAGTCGCTCATGCTGAATTTTTGGTTGTCGTAGAGGAGAATGTCGAGGTCGATATTACGAGGCCCTTTATCAATGGTTTTCTCGCGACCAAGGTGCTTTTCTATGCTCTGGAGCTCGTCAAGCAGGGCGAGAGGCTCGAGATCGGTGTCGACCTCGCACGCGCCGTTGATAAACTTGTCCTGGTCGGCAACATACATCGGATTCGTCTCCCAAAGGCTACTCGTCTTGGTGACTCGGATCCCTCGGCGATCCATCTCGGCGCAAGCTTCTTCGATCATGGCAATGCGGTCGCCCACATTGCTCCCCAGAGCAATGTACGCCTTTCTCTTTCGATCTACCGGAGGTGGTGGGTCGCGGGGTCCGCAACCACCGCAGCATGCAAACGGGCGCATCGGGGCTGCCCGGCGCTGGGTGCTAGAGAACGGCGGCGGGGCATGGCGCCTCAGGGCCAAGGGTCGTCTCTTGGAGGAGGCTAGGGATGCTGTCGAGGCGGACCTTAGTGATGTTTTGGGCTGCACGATGACGCTAGGGAACGGCGCCCGACCGAGCGGAAGACTTGGGGGCCTCATGGCGGGTGGGATTGCGGGAGTTTAGTTTCGGGGCGTCACCATTAAAGATGGATGTTTAGGTTTGCGATTCGAGCTGCGTCGACAGGGCCGGGGTGGGGGAAGTCACGAGGTACAGCTTCAGGCTCGGTTTGCTGAAACGGCATGCACAGAAGACAACGAAGATAATAAGTCGCCCCTGCCAATCATGAATCTGTTGACAGGCAATATGTAACGACTCAGATTGTTCCGCGGCTGCGAGTCAGCCTTGTACTTTTTCCGCTGTCGTCGAGGTCAAGCTATTGATGGTTCCAAGCAATAGTGGGACACCCATTTTTTCTTCTTGGGTTCTGGCAAGAACGGCAGAATTACTCTTGAGTCCCAAAGAAGCTAAGCGGTGTGGTCATTGAGAGGTTAAGTACAGCTCCCAAAGGGCTAGGCGGTGTGATACTTTTCCTCTACCAGGGGCAGAAAGAGCTCGAGCTCGATTTCTGAGCAAGGAACAGGGAAAAGAAAATCCCCAAAATGAGGAGAAGAGAAGGTAAGAAAATGGATAGAATGAGGACCTAGTGCGAAAATTACTTTCGCCCCTCCCACTAATTCTGTTTGGGAGTGAGCAGAGATATGAGGTGATGTGCTGTGGAGAAAGGAGATCAGAACTGCACATCAATCAATGATGGAGCCTGCATCTTGCGGGAGAGAGGTCCAAAGATGATAGTGGACCCCACTCACTCGCAGCGCCAGCAGGGGAAATGGGCCGATGCAAGCAAGTACAGTTTATTTTGCATGTCGCAAAGCTTGGGGATCAATACTATGTCGAATACCCATCATATCGAACACTTTGAAATAGCTCGATTTCTAATCGATAATAGGTGGTTAGGTCAGGTGTCAAGCCTCGGGCATGGAGCATGGAGCATCGCGTGCGTCTGGGTTGGGTGCCCGGCGATTTATTGAAGTGATGAGATGATCAAAAGTCGTGGGCTTGGATAGGCCACTTGGAGAGGCCAGGGAATTTCAATGGGTAGAAATTTAGAGGTCAAAAACGCGATCCAGCGCCATGATCAACGTGTGCAACTGCTCAAGCCACCAACTCATGGGTGCCACAGAGGGGGATCTGCGAGGGGCACGCACTGCCGAAAGAGTGGCAAGGGGGAGGACATAGGAAACAAGGAGCCGAATCTACTCAAGCCGGGCGCCGGACTAAGGAACCCTTTATCCTCGGTAACTTTTCGCACCCAAGCAGGCCCATGCCTTCTCCTCACTGTGTCCAGGCCCCGCTCTCAGCCTTTCACCGCGTTCCCCAGATTCTCATCGTGCGGGCCCGACAGCACTAGGCCAAAAGCGGGTCAAAGGGTTGGGGGTGGGGAAAGCGCAATGACGAAGGAGCACGATGAGCAAACCTGGACCTCGGCTTGTTTTCCTGCCACGACTGGCACTTGCAATCAAGTCCGGACCCCTGCCCCTTCCCCAAAATATTACGGGGTGGTTAAGTGGGAACCCACGAGTCGATTGGTCCTGCCGCCGCCAGCCGTCGCATCCGTCAAACTCGGGGAAGCACATGTAAAAAGAGGCCATCTCGCTCTCCCCTCCACAGCGTCGATTCCGATCCTTTGCTTATTTCTAAACAAGTCATCCGCAAAGCTTCGCCTCCCCTTCTCCCTTCTCACTTCCTCCCACGTAAATATTCCCTTTTCCTCGTCTCTTCTCCTCTTTTTGGATATTCATTATCCTCCACCCTAAGACAAACTACACTCACCAGTATCTGTTGACCTCCACCGTCCTCTCGGTTCTCTCACGTCACCATGGCTTCTCCTCGTAAGTGGTGTCCCCCTTGGTTTGTTGAGGCCTCTCGCTGGCTTTCATACCACCTTCTCTTCACCGTCGTCTCCCGAATCCGTGACTAACGGTGGACTATTTCTCCCCTCTCTAGAGCAACTCCGTACCCCCGCTACCGAGCTCTTCGGCATCAAGCACCCCATCCTCCTCGCCGGCATGAACGTCGCCGCCGGTCCTAAGCTCGCCGCTGCTGTCACCAATGCCGGTGGTCTCGGTGTCATCGGCGGTGTTGGTTACACCCCCAACATGCTCCGCGAGCAGATTGCCGAGCTCAAGGAGCACCTCAACGACAAGAATGCCCCGTTCGGCGTTGATCTTCTCCTCCCCCAGGTCGGCGGTAGCGCCCGTAAGACCAAGTATGTTCTGCCATCTTCCCTATTCATACGTTTCATTGTCTTCTCAGCGTGAGCGCTACGCAGTACGCCTCAATCTGAAACAATGTTCCGGCATAGAGCTGTATGCTAATCTTGCTCGGTTTTCAATAGCCGTGACTACACCAACGGCAAGCTTGATGAGCTTGTTGACATTATCATCGACTCCGGTGCCAAGCTCTTCGTCTCTGCCGTCGGTGTGCCTCCCAAGTCTGTCGTCGACCGAATCCACAAGGCTGGCATTGTCTATATGAACATGATTGGACACCCCAAGCATGCCAAGAAGTGCCTCGAGCTCGGCGTCGACATCATCTGCGCCCAGGGCGGAGAGGGTGGTGGCCACACTGGTGATACCCCCACTACCGTCCTCATCCCCGCCGTTGTCGACCTCGTCAAGGGCCACAAGTCTCCTCTCACGGGTAAGCCCGTCCAAGTTATCGCTGCTGGTGGCATCCATAACGGCCAGCTCCTCGCCGCCTCCCTCATGATGGGCGCATCCGCCGTCTGGGTCGGCACTCGCTTCATTCTTACCGACGAGGCCGGCGCTCCCAAGGCTCACAAGGAGGCCGTCCGCACCGCATCCTTCGACGACAATATCCGTACCATCATCTTCACCGGTCGCCCCATGCGCGTTCGCAACAACCCGTACATCAACGAGTGGGAGACTGAGCGCCAGTCTGAGATGCGGGAACTTACGGGCAAGGGCGTTATTCCTTTCGAGCACGACCTCGAGGTCCTCTCCGAGGGCAAGGGCAAGCCCCCAAGTCTATCTCCAACACTATTTCCAAGACCACCGACGAGGTCGACGTTGATGATGTTCTTGACGAGTTCAGGCCCTTCCTCATGGGCAAGGCCGCCGCCGTGGTCACGGAGAACAAGTCGGCCAAGGCCGTCATTGATGAATTTGTCAGTGACGCTGTCAAGGAGATCCAGAACGGCAACAAGATGATTGCCAAGCTATAAATGCGTGATGGTGTCGCGCCGGATAGAGCATCCCACTATTTAGAGTGATGACGGCATCAGTATATGGCTGCGTCGTGTTGCATTATCTGCGGTTGGCTGTTTGCTCGTTCTCTCTTTTTTCTTTCCGTTTCTGAACGTTTGGTGCCATCTCTTTGCGGCCGCTCCGGTCTGTTATATATCAATGTCTGTATAGATTGAAGCGGAAGTCCTATCACGATTACGATGGGGGAAACCTGGGAGGGGAAGGACATGATGAGGCATTGGGTAGTAATAGTTACTACTGTGAACGTGTCCTGTTGTATATACATAATCACACTTAAGCATGTCTTATATATCAAAAGAGAAAAGAAATACAACTTCAATGGTGCATGGCCAGATAAAATCGTCAAAAACTAGAGGGACCAGAAACGGACGACAACCGCCGTGTGCTAATACGTGTCGGTGCGTCAGTTCATGAAGTTGTATTGAGGTTGTATTACCACCCATCCCACCATCGATGAGACGGGAGTCAAACAGGCGCGTTTCCCACCTATCAAGGATAACGCGCACTTTTCTTGCCGGTCTCGAAGGGAGGCGAGCCACGAAATAAGAAGAGAAATAATTAAACCGCTACTACCGAGGTACATGGGAGGGTGAGGGAGAGGCCGTGAGAAAAGGCCGCGGCCTCGCGATGGTTAATTACGCAGGGAGGGACACACTTGGAATATTCGCGCCAAATTGTTTGAAAGGGGGTTTTCTTTTGGGGTTTTTTGTCTTTTTCTTTTTTTAACTCTTGCTCTTCATAGCCATTGCATCGCATCGCATCTATTCGTGTAACATTGAATGTAAAGGGAACAAAACTTGAGAAGAAACGGAGCGGAGGGTAAGGGAGAAGTGAGAAGAGGCACCATCCACCAGCCAGATGTTCGTCACTTACTTGCATGACTTTACCCCCATGTGGGCCAAGTTCCCCTCCTTCGACCGACCACATACACCGGAAAACGAAAGAAAAACAGAAACCTTCCCCAGCTTGCAATTATTTACCATCTGTTTTAAACACCGACCTAGAAAGATAGAATGTGTCCAAGGTTGGCTTGGGGGTAGAGGGTCTCTAGGGGTAACAGTCATGAGGAAAACAGGTTCCAAGAGGCGATGAATGGAAGATATGGCCTAGACATCTTCCTATCATAGCAGCAAGGCCTATTTCCGTATCTGTATAGTCTTCATTTCGAAGCGGACCTTTTGAATAAACACGAAGCCCGACAGCACCGAGACAACCAAGACTTCTCAAGACATCCCAATTTCTCAGCTCAAAAGATAAGGACACGAAAACTGTTTTTCTTCAGGTTGCCTCAGTTTCCTAGGTAAGCCCGGATGGCGCCCTGCAATTTGGTGGCGCCCTCGCCCAGAGCGTTTGTGAGGTTATCAATGTCGTCAGCGGCGGTGATGCCGAACTTGCGGACAAAATCCTTGGCCGCAGACTCGAGATCGCCATAATCCTCCTGGGCCTGCGCCTCTGGGCGACCAAAGTAGGCGTTGGACGAGATGGCGGTAGCACCCTCGAAGCCCTGGAGACGGGTCTTAGCTTCAGCTTGTTGGGAAGGGTCAAAGGCGCCTTTGCCGAAAAACTCGTCAGAAGAAATGCCCTTTTGCGCGCCAAACTTCTTGCGTGCATAGTCGGGTTCATCATCTGCAAAAAGATCAGTGACACACGCTTCGTAGATCGGCCTTCTGGTCCGCCGTGATAATGTATAAACCACCTACCATTCGCAGACGACTTGATGGGTCCGACGGAACCGAATCCACCACCAACTTTCTTGGGGGCTGCAGTAGTCGCAGCAGCAGCCTTTCCACCACCAACCTGGCCAAAACCGAGCCTGGCGACGCCCATGCCTAGCCTCTCGACATCAGAGCCAGACTTGGCGGGAGCAGTGCTGCCAAAACCACCCCTGTTAGGGCTCACGGGGGTGGGAGACAACACGTTGGCTGCCTCGGCCTTGGCACCCTTAGAGGTCTCAGCCTCAGCCTCCGCATCAGGGTCGTAGCCGAGCTTCTCGATGCGGTCGGCCTCCTCCTTGGCACGCTTCTCAGCCTCGTCAAAGTCGATGATGTCGCTGGTGACCTTCTTGGCCCCGAGCTTGGTGACCGTCTTCTTAGCTCCGAGAATGTTGGCCTTCTTGGGGCCAGCTGCGCCCGTGCCCGTCTTTCGAAGAGCGGTTGAGTGCGTTATGCGGCTAGCGGCAGGCTTGGCGTCGGAGGCGGGCTTAGAAAGGGCGGACGAGGGCCGAGACGTGCTCAAGCCAGCGGCCAACGGGGACGCGGTACGGCCGACAACGGGAGGAGTGGCAGTCCGAGAAATGGGGGAGTGGGTCGCTTGATCGCGGGCTTATCCCAAGACGAGAAGAAGTCATCTTCGGCATCACCTCCCGGGGTGCTACTACCAGGAGCTTCACCGTCGGTAATCACGACTTCGTTGGGGTACCTAGCAAGTTCGAAACCATATCAGCATCCGGAACCCCAGTTCGAAGAATAAAAAGAACAAGATGGATGAAAAGAAAGAAAAAAGAAAAGGAGGGGAGGCCTCGACTTACTCCGCGGCGTCCCGGGCAGCTCTCCTCTTCAGCTCTTCTTTGTACTTGGTGGCAGCGTTGGATTGATACTTGGTCTTAGAATCCTTGCTATTAAGCGCAGCAGTGCCTCCGTTCTGCTGGAAGAACTTGGTCGCTGACTCATTACCTCCAACTTTCATGAGACGAAGTTGGTCCCATTGCCACTCTTTGGAAAGCGCATAACATTAGCCTACGATTTCCATCATTGTGGGAGATAGCGGAGAGTAGCGTAGCAGCAGAAGCAAGGGATGGGGATGTCAGGGTCGCATACGGTCGAGGTTGGTTGATCGGACGAAAGAGATATGAACACCAAGGTTACGGTGATTCGATGAGCAGTCGAGGCAGAGATAGATGCCAAAGGGGACCGAGGTCCATGTGGGACTATTCTGACCGCAGTCGAAGCAAACCTAGATGTATGCGGAATCCGAGTGTTAGCTGCGGCTCGCGCTTGATCAAGGCGCAAGAATCATGGCTACTACGTACCTTGTTCGCGGGTTTCGACTTGAGCCTTTCGAATATCTTTAGCGACTCCTGCTTCGATGCGAGGGCGGCCATGGCTTCGGCAGGATAGCGGGGGAAGGGGGAGAGAAAGGGGAGATGAATTAATAACGATAGGGGCGCGTTCGCAAGGCGCAAGAAGTAGGAAAAATGCGAATGCAGTAAATCCCGGGCACTGGCCAGTAATTCGAAGAGAATAGGAGTCGTCGGGACCAAGGGTCTGCCACGAGCAAGTCGATAAACAAGTAAAGGTGAACCGATTCAGGAGATCAACCCTTGGCTTCTGGCTTGGGGGTGAAGTGGCATGTAGAGTCCCGCTATTCCTAATCAGGAAAGAGCGCCCTCAATTCTGCCGAAAGCGGTGAAAAGGTTGGTTCCTGTCAGGAAGTGAAGCTTCACCTCACGACATCACTTCTTTTCATCCTCCCAACGACAAACGTCCTTCCTTTGAGTTTGCGACTCGTCCTCTTGTCGTTTCTTCTATCATTTTATTCCCTCCCTTTGTTGAGATAGTTGGGGTTTCTAGTATGTGAGTCGCCTTGATTTCGCCCCCTTCCTTGATCCCAGTCTGTTTGCGCCGCTCGCTCCTCACACATTATCGAAAGTCGCAGAATGGCCTTGCACCTGTCACAACCGCAAAGATGAAGCTCGCCACCCTCCCCGTCGCCGTCCGCCATGTATCCGTCTTGTCAGGGTCTAAATCTTTAGGCGCTCTAGCGTCTCGGCACTACTCGACCCAAACCTCCTCAAGCAAATCGGCAAATCCGAGCTCCAAGCGACGTGCCGTGACACCATTCAACGATGATGGCCGGGTCAACTGGACCGACCTTTCCCGCGGTGAAAAGGCCGCGAGGGCGACTCAGCAGACATTTAACTTTGGGTTCATTCTCGCAGGACTCGGCCTCACTGTAAGCCTTGGACTCCAAAGGCCTTGATGAGGACCGTCCCCCGCGCTGACACTATTTTCTAGGGCGCTGTAGTCTACCTGTTATTCACCGAGGTTTTCTCACCGGATAGCCGGGTTGCCAACTTCAGTCGGGCCGTCGACTTGATCAAGAAAGACACAGCTTGCCAGGCCGCGCTAGGTGACCCGAAGAAGATTCTCGCGCACGGTGAAGAAACCTACAGCCGGTGGAAGCGCTCTCGTCCGATCGCGTATGTTTGAACCAATCCATCCAAATCTAGAGCGCCAATAGCTGACCCGCAGCCTTTCAGCTCCACAATCTCCCAGGATCGATTTGGAGTTGAGCACCTGAAGATGCACTTCTACGTAAGTTCCGAGACGCTACCCCCATGGACGATTAGATGACGGCCTGACACAGCGTAGCTCCAAGGGCCTCTCAACAGTGGCATCGCACACCTTCATATGACGCGGCACCCCAACCACGGCGATGGTGACTTTGAGTACAAGTACCTCTTCGTGGATGTCAGGGGCCACCAGAGGATTTATCTAAAGAATGCAGACGATGACAAGTCGTCAACCTCCCCGGGGAAAAAGACTAGATTTCTTGGGATTAACTGGGGATGATTGGGCGGACCCGAGAGTCAAAGAGTTAAAATAGAGTGTATACTAATGATGGCGCCGGTGTGGCATGCCCTTGTAAGTTAAGTATCTTCATCGATGACTAAAAGAATTCGCATCGTTCAACCTGGCCAAGAAGCATCGTGGGCCCCGTGTGAAGAAAGACTGGATATGTTGACAAACTCTTGACTGGTTTCTACCACAAGAATGGCAAGAGAGTCCCAGTCTGTTTCCGCCAATCCACGTCTTTTACGTTTGGAAAAGTGGGTTCCGTTCCGGTAGTCGGTATGTGGCTCGGGCTAACATCTATCGAGAGCCCCTTTGGAAGTGAGGCATAACTCGAGCTTCTTGTCACCACATCTCTCCGATAAACTATGAGAGCACCAGCCCTTATTAGCGATGATTTTGGCCGCACTGCATTTGGCAGCAATGGGATACCAGCCCCGTACTTGAAGGAATCTTGTTGTCCATAACCGAACTCCCCGGAGACCCATTATCGGCGTGTTGCAAAGCACATACACACTTTGCAAATGAACAAGACAACCGATGAAGAGTGGAAGAGGAGCAGTAAAGCCCTCCAAGCTCGCCTAGAAAGTCCGAGAGAGCAAGAGAGAGCAAGAGAGAGCAAGAGAGTCGGCCAGGCCGAGATGGCGGTGATCGGTGATTCCCTCAAATCAACAGGACGGCTACCATTAGCCCCAGGCTTGCTCCCGACTCTGGCGCGGAACCTTTGACCCTCCATCCCTCATGATATATCGATAGGTTAGCCATTGCCCGGTGCCTCTTAGTTTGTAGGGTTTTGATGTACGGAAGTCCATCTTGGCCATCCAAATCTTGTTCCGCCCCGGCTAGCCCGAACCGCCCTTTCTTCCCCAGCCACCGGCCTCTCGACCCGAATTGCAATCGTCTGGGATCCGAAGCCACAGGTCATGCTCTCTTATCACAATCACATGCTAAGTGCGATTGGTCAACCAGGTGTACGCTACGGTTTTCGTTTTTTTATCTTCTTTTCTCCTTTTCTAAACGCGATCGACATCTTCATGTGAAAAGGGGTCGCATTAAGGAACCCACAGCGGACGGGCCCACGGGATCTTCCCGCTCTGACGGCCCAGCATCCCCTTTCTTCAGCCTAGTCCTTTCGCTCATTCTCCCTTGCACACCGGTTTCAATACCATGTCATCTTGGTCTCTGCATGCGAGGGAGGAAGGCTGCCCTGCACGGCTTAATCCATGATTTTCCCGTTTCTTTTTTTCTTTCCTTTATTTTTCTTTCATTTCTTTTTCTTTTTCTTCTTTTTCACATTGGTCCTCCTCCGCGTCTCTCAGATGAAAACAGGAAATAGAAGATGAGGAGAGGCGGAGGAAAGGAAAACGGGCACAAACTGTTACAGCCACTCCCCTCTCCGCGTCCATCGTTCACCGAGCGCATCGACATATTAAATTAGATAACTTCCCTTTGGCCATCTCAAAATATACCTCCTGGCATCCTACTGGACACCTCGTTACGCTCCATAGCAATCCTCTCCCTTCACATCTAGTGGCTTCACGAAACCTTATCCTGGTTCCCGAGCTTCCCGTTCTCTCGTCCCGTCCCCATCCTCAAACCTGCTGCAACTCAAGAATTGAAACAGCAGCGGGGGAGGAGAAGAGAACATGGAATCTCACATCACAAATTGAACTTCGGTGAGGACAAAAACAAAGCAGATGATATAGCAGTTTAGAAGCCGGAACCAAAGAGTGAAGCGGTTAAACTCTTCAGCCTTCCGGAAGGACCCTATGTCAGCCTCTATCGCTCGCAGATATGTTCTCTGTCTCTGCCGCAACGAGACACATTCTCAAATCTCGCATGCCTAGAAAAAGAAAGAAAGAAAACAGAAGAGTAAATACAAACCGTTTTCTTTGGCCCGGCGGGCATGCTATCCCTTCATTATGCCGTTCCTCCCTCGCCAGCCCTTCCAGCCTTTCACGGCATAGTGGGCTCCATCTAGAGTATATATTCTAGCAGCAGAAAGATGGTGAGAACAGATTGAGACGTCGTTTAGATAAGGGCAAGGAACGCGAGCGACGCGGGACGTCAAATGTTGATGGTGGTGACCCCCGCCGGTGTATCTCGATGCCGTTCCGAAAAGGACCGGGGGCGTGAGAGCGGTGTGAATCGGTGAGATGGGCGATAACAAGGGCAAGGGGGGAAAGGGGGCCATGCAGTGGAAGGTTGCAAAGGCTTTTGAGGTTGGAAGATGCATTAGCAAAACGGAAAGGAGGGGCAACGAGATGGCGCATCTGCGGTGTCACGGCGGGAGTGACGAGGTGTTTCGCTCTTCCATATTGATATCGAGATGTCTCGCCACCCTCTGGCCCCCGGCTACAAGGAACCCCTCCCTCAATCTCGAGCACACGTTTGCATTTCGCGGTTCTTCATACGACGGTGTATTTTCGCTCCGAAAACGCGAATCCGGATAGAACCACTAACCAATGCATAGTCCCAGTCCCATGAACGAAAGTGAGTGCCAGACTAAAGAGCCTCGATCGAACACTCCCATCAACCAAATAGCAGGCGGGCCAGAATGTGTATCCTGACTCTCCGCTGGTTATTCCTTCTCATCCTAATGTTAGATAAGCCTGGGTCCATACATGAAGTGTAAATGAGCCTCAATCATGAACTAGTCGCTCTCTTCCGTAACGCCGTTTAAGCTGTGGAGGTTCGTAGCAGTCCACCTCCATCACGCCCCCGTCCCCCTTCGTCCATCCCCCTGTATAGGCTAACAGGCCCTATTTGTTTGGATAAGGTCCCGATCGCTTATTGCTCTACCTACCGTCCCCTCAGTGCCCGTTCCCGTACTCGTATCCTATGGGGACGAGACATATGGGGGCTAGACACTGCTAGGTATTCACTCTCGCTTGTGAGCTTTAAAGCACATTAAGCCTTCCCCATCCCCGAGGCCTTTCCCCCTGCACATCCTCTCGGGCGATGTACCACACGGGTGGAACGGGGAACCAGACGCGCAAAGCCCCCATATAAGAGGGGAGGGAGGGGGCGTAAGCGGAGTCTGCAGCCAGGGGATCGTCGCGCGGGGCGAGGGCGGGTAAGAGAGAAGCGCTTTCGCCAGCCGCGTTTTGAATTCTCCCAGATCCCGTCCATACGTAACAGGTCGCTGACGTGGAGATATGAAGCAAGTCGAGGAGATGCCCAGTGCAGGTAAAGAAGAAGACGACGAAAGAAAAGCTGATGGAAAACCCAAAGAAGCCGGATGAAGATGGAACCAAAACAAAGACAACCAATATCCATAGTTTGATCCAGGTAACCGAAATACAACAAGGCCTCCAGCTACATCAATTGGCAAGTCAATTGCATCATCCATAGTGAGAAGTTCTGTGGCCATGTAGCCCGCCGAGAGGCCACCGGTGCCCTTTGGCCTCTAATAAGTAAGTGGTCGGATCCACGTCGCCAGAGCCGATGGACTCCAGAAACTGAGGCATGCATATGAATGCAATGCGAGTCGATACAAAAATCCACGGGTATAAAGCCGCCGTCTGCATAAACTACAGGCTTAGCAAGCAGGCTACTCCTGCGGTCAACTCGGAAGGGCGAAGGAGGTTGCATCTACAAGTATTGAGGTCTACTCCTAGAAACCAGCGAGATATCCCCACCCGAGGAGAGGAGGATTCCTCTGAACCCGAAATTTAACGCAGCAAGCTTCTCGAGTGGAACTCTCTCTCAAGTTTGCGCATGAAATGACGAAAATCCAAGAAGGCGTAGATGATTGCTCTCAGAGAAGCAGGAAAAAAAGAAGAAAAACAAGAAAAGGGGATAGAAAGGCTGACGCCCAAACACTCGCCGCAGCAGCGAGATTTAGGAACACTGACATAGTCCATTGAGGCTTCTTCCTCTGAACAACAAACACTCAACTCAGACGGCATAAGGCAGCTGCTGCATTTCCCTTCCTCCTACATCCAGCCCATGCATACAAGTGGAGTGCCGGGTGATATCGCGCCTGCCCAAGCATCTTAGTGGGGAAGGCAAGAGAAAAAGGCAGGAACAACCATGACGCCAAGCGCGAAATGTGAGCGGCGTCAGTAGACTACATCTCAGAGACGAGGAAAGAAGGCACCACCTCCTAAGTACTGTCATCGTCTCCGCATTAACATCCCCCACCGCACTCCTCCTACCTCAGGCGCATGAGTTTATATCGCGTCTTACTATCCTCGCTCCCTGCCCCGTCTGTGTAGTTTGCTGTGCCGATACATAGTAACATTCTCAAAATCAACAATTTCGCTTCTCCGGCGGTCCGATTAAGCTCCTAGCCTCGAGAGGGCCCCCGCTGTGAGCCTTTATCCTTCATTCCGCCCTCACCCTGGGGATACCTGTGGCTAGGTTCATGCTCTTTTGCTCCTTTTTTCCTCATTCATTCTTTCTCCTGCGAGTACCTATAAAAGCCCAAGCTAGAATTCTCAATGGTACGCACATGGCGGAACATGACGGGAAGTGGAGGGCCACGCAGCTCTCCACACCGGATTGTCGATCCCGCTCTCGGTCAACATAGTGTACACCACCCCTCCTCCCCTGTCTTTCGCATCTCTTGTGGAAGTTGTTGATTAGGGTGGGAAAATAGTGTATCTGCCATACCAAGCATCAAGGTCTTATATCCGGCCCAGGCTGGAGCATGAAGGGATGGCCTTCATTCATCAATAATTGCTCCGTCCTCTACAAGCGCTACCCACTCTCCTCCGCAGGGCCGGTGAGAAGTTTGCTCTAACCGGACGTGAAGGCGTCAATTGCTAGCGAGTGCTCAACCTCTAAACGGATACTACCATGATATGCCAATTCATATGGGAGGTCCACAGGGCAAATGAACTTTCAGTAAAGAGCAAGATCAGAGTAAACGGCTCTTCTTCTAGAAAGTCCCGGTGTCTCCGGGACTATTAAAACGGCCGCTGCCTAGCTATGAGTGACGCGGAGCCTCTAGTCGGACATATATAGATCATGTTAACCTGTCGCAGGTTCACAGGGTTACTAAGTAGCTCCTGATGGCGTCAGATAAGTGCCAGAGAACGAATCAAATCACACCCCTTCAATCTTCTCCTCCTCGCCTCTCTCATTATCATGCCCTCTTACATGCCTCTCCAGACGCCCGCCGGGATTCAGTGTTGTGCTCTAGGCGACGAGCTTTCGCATCCACGCACTTTGCAGCCTCTTGAGTCGCGGAAGTCTACGGAGTATTATCCATCTAAATTCCTCGCTGCATCTGCACCTGGCTGGGTAAGGAAGAAATCTGTAACTTCGCTAATGACTTAATACGGAGCATTTTCGCGAGAGTAGACACTTAAGCGCACGGCGACAA